AGTGAGGCCACAATTGGTAGAGTTTTAGATTTATTTTCAAAACACCAAAGGATACAACATTTCCTGGACATCAAATTGTAAAGTAGGAGGTTTCTTTTTCTTTTTTTTTTTTTTTTTTTTTACATATTGTCAACATTAGCCTTGAACAACTTTTTTCCACATTTTTTTTCTCAAAAACAAGCCCAATCCTGTTGCCTTGAAATTCTTTTATTCAGTTTTTCTACAGTTAAGCTTTACGTTCCTGTTCACAGACAACTGGATGTTTATCTCCAAAGTGAACATAGTTTTCACTTAGACCTGTCTGCTCCCCACCCCCCTTTTGCAATGTACAGTTCCCACTTGCAGCATTTTCAGTAAACATGGGATCAACTGAGTATACAGAAATAGCTTCTATAAAATTTCCATTAAAAAAATAACAAGTTTTTATTTACAAAGTGTTTGCTACTACAAAGTAATATTTCCTATTGGTTCAAATATACTATTTGCTAATACCAGTGTTCCTATTAGGAAAGTAAAACTTTGTATATGCATTTTTCTTTATATCTTTGTCAGTGTTTAAAGCACATGTAATACTACCACATTCTTTTTTTACACTACTCCTAGCCACGTACAATGTGGTAGTAGAAATTAACACAATTTGATCAGGACAAAAAAATCAGCATAGCTTAATAGCAGTCTTTCTGCAAAAAATAAAACTTTAATTTATAATTTAAAGGTATTTGGAAAGAAAGAAATTGACGGAGAATTCAAAAATATGCAGCAAATTATTTAAAAGATGAATAGGCAACTTGAACTCTCCTGAAGACATGAATTTAGTACAAGAAAAGAGAAATATTTCTGCTAAAGTGTGTGACACTTTATGCCAATACATATGCTGGGGGAGGGGGAGAGTAAAATGGGTGGATTAACAAATTAAAACTTCAAATCCCATATAGTTAGCATCCTCATAAATTGGATTTGTCAGTGCTTGTTTTCTTCCCACCCACCATGTTTACAAACCCTTGAGTTCAGCATTGAAAGAGGTATAAAATAGCTTTGTCCATGACTGGCCTTGTTCTTAAAAAGAAAAAAAAAAAAGTCTTATTTAAAAGTTAATGGCCTTTCAAGTGGTTTCTGCATTTTAAACATAACAAGGAAGTGTCTCTACAACTTACTTCCCTGTAGAATATAGTAGATGTTAAAAGTGCGACTGTAAGGGGGGGACGACCTGCCTTTTAGCCCATAGTGCTTGTTGCAGCGGCTCCCCAACACTGGTCGGGGTGTATGTCAGCGTTAACTCGCTGCCTGGGGACTGAGCTATTGCCACATCATCCAAGTGCCCACAGACATGTACTGTTGTACAAACTGTGCCTGTACTTGCTGCCTAGTTACTCCTGACACGATGTAGGCTGCGCAGAGACAAGGGTTGGTGCCTCGCTCCCAGGGGTTTGTTTGCAGTCAGGACCTGAGGAACTCGGATCCTGGTTCTTACAGGTTTGTTCAAAGTAGGGTGAATTTTTTCACAGTAGGTGCTTGTGAGATACAGTTGCATAACATTTGCATATACTTCTCTGAAGTATTTTTCATATATATAGCCTGGCTTTAGAGACAAAGGAATGTGCCAGAAATGTGTGATGGGTTGTGATTCAGCTGGTGTTTTCCTAGGGAAGTTCTGGGAAACCCACTTAATCCCTGCACTAGTGCAACCAAATCTACTAATTGTTAAAGTTACATTAGAGATTTAACACACCCACCAAAAAAACCTGGAGACTGATTTTGTGGACTTAACCTTTGCTGGTCAATGTTTTAACTTCTGTGGCTGCTCAGAATAACTGTATGTGACCTAAAAATTTCAATGGAAAGGGCTGTGGATATGTGTTTTTTTTTTCCTCTTTGCCTGCCCTGGTGTGACGGGTGTGCCACCTGCTGCCTTATGGAAGGCACAAGAACCAGACTGTGCCAGAGATTAATTTCTCTGTTTCACTCAGCCTGGATAATAAGCTAAAACCAAGCCAGTGTTAAAGATTTATTCTGGCTTGGAAAAAGTTTCCTATATACTGCATAGATGAGTTTGATTTACGTCTACAACTGGATTTAAATTTTACATAGCTGTAGCCTGCTATCCCATGGTGTTAATATAGCTAAAGTGTCTATGCCTGGAGAGTGTTAAGTATTTAAGAATAACATTTAGAAAAGTCAGAAGATTAAGTGATTGCCACTTACTCTAGCCAATACTCAAAAGAGATGCGAGTCTGGGCTACTGGGATGTTCCTGTATGTGCTTGGAATTATTATGGCCCCACTCCAAATACTGATCTGACCCAGGTCAGCCTGCTTTTCTTATTGGAGAAGGAAAAATGCAGTTACTCATTTGCTCTATACTATTCCTGAGCAGGAGGCTTTGTCCTAGATTTGGATGGTTAGATCTCAGCGATTTTGAGGTCCTGCGGGCTTGGTGGCTATCCTGAATGTTAGGATTCATGGGATTCAAAAAGATGTAAGAGAAAAAACATTTTTGTTTTGGTTGATCTTTGTGGTAGGCCAGACAAGGTAGGAGTATTAAAGATGTAGAATGAATATGCACTCTCTATACAGCTGCAATAAACAGCCCCTTCGGTTGTTGCTGTTGGACTGCTCTTACGTGCAGTCCTCACCTACCTGTCAGTACCAGTGGGCTGTTAGGTATCCCTGCATGCCAGCTCAGGTGATGAGATTGAACAAGCTGGGAAGTATTTGTATGAGCAGCTCTACAGTGACTTGAAACGATGGTAATACTTAGCAGAGGGAATGGACAGCTGGGAGTAATGTAGGTTGTAGGGATTTTTTTGGCAAGATACGAGGGTCCAGGGGAGAGCAGTTGCTCACAGCCTCTTAAAAACACTCACCAGACTAAATTCTAACAGCTAAAAAGATAAATGATAGTCTTATTTGGGTACTTGGTTAAGTCTAAGGAATGAGAGTTTCAGGAAGTTTCATGCTATCAGGATTTGGTTATGTGATAACTAGGAATTATGAATGATTTATTGGCATATTACTTCTAGATTCAGGTCAGAGTTCAAGAAATGGCATATTTTAAAAACTAAAAACTCAGTAAACAGATTGACAGTCCTTAGCCTTTTCCTTCTTCATCAGTAATGCTGCAAGAGGAACCATTTCCCAGTGCTGAAGGCTGAGATACCTTCAGTTGTAAAATATACTAGGCTTTGGAGTAACTCAGCTGCAGCATTTCTTTCTTTAAAATTAATTAAGTAGAAGGAGGTCACCTCAAAGTATGACTATTACTAAAATTTTGTAAATCAAAAATTAAAAAAGCTCATACAGTCTTTCCCCAGCTGCATTGTATCTGGCTATTTAAAGTACTTAGGTTCCTGAGAGACTCTTGTAATGAAAAGCTGTAAGTTAGGTGGGTCAGTCAGAAAATAACTTCTTCAGGTTTGTTTACTATATACTATACCCTGTAGTTACTAGTTTTGTTTTTAAATGAATCTAAACCTCAAACATCTTAAACTCACTAAAAGGAAATTCTTGATAAACTGCTTGGATTATTGTCAGCTGAAAAGAGCCAGTTAATTATAAAAATTAGTATTGCTTAGTGTTCAAATGTGATTAAGTTTCAGCCATGCCCTTGAATTAAAATGGTGGATATGGTCAGAAGAGCACTTGACATTTAACACCTTAACTGTGGAATTCTAAATTCAAGCATCATTTTTATGTATGAACTTGAGGGTTTTGGTTTTGTTTAAAGCAAAAAAAAAAAAAAAAGGGATTAAAATTTGGTTATTAAGCCTTTTTTTTACATAATGTTACTTCAGGCTGACTTAGTTGATCAGCACAAGTCCTTCGGTGGGTATTTTCTGTGCTCAGCAATTTCCAGCAGCTCAAAGGGTTAGTGAACTTTGCAAGATATAGTATAAAAAAACTAAACAAAACCCTTAACCAGAATGGAAATATCTACAGTGTGGCTTGTATTAGGTTTAATGAAGTTAGTGAAAAATCATACCTTCAGTTAAAATCGTATTGTTTGCTTTAGTCTTTATGTAAATACACACACTTAGATTAGGTGGCTTGTTGCCGTTAATTCCAGTGTTGAAATGAGAAGACTGGCACACCTTAATATTACTTAAAAAACCCCAAATCCACAAACATTATGTCAGCTTTCCATGTAACAGAAAATTTTTGTCTTCCACTCATATTTTTTCATGTAGTTTGTGGTGCTGACAAGTTTTTCTAAGCCAAATTTAGATTTTTCAGGCACTATATAAAGTAAGCCCAGAAATAAAGCTGTTTACTGCAATATATAAAAAAACATTTACACAAAGCATTATACTGCTTGCAGCTAAGTGCTTTCTGAGTGTATAACCAAGAAATAATTCCAAGACACAGAAACATGTCACACATGAAAATTTAAATGTTAACTTCGTCTTCTAAGAGATACCATCTAGTACCAGTTGCTACATGTTTCATACCAGTGAATGTCAAGGGTATTGCATGAGACAGGAGAGGATGATGGTAACTGAATAGAAAATGGGAAAACCAGGCTTGCTAATGGCCATTTTATTCTGGAAAGTATCTGCAGTTGGCTCTCAGAGGGAGGGCCTGCATGTTGAAGCAACTGAGCACAACTATGGACGTTGGCTTAGGGGGAGCTGTGCGGTTGCTTAATATTCTCCATCTCCCTTGTTACTCATAATCGCTCAGCGCTCAGTTCAGATGCAACAGCTGCATTTTGTGAGGTCCTGCATTTACCTGTTTTGTTTCGGGTTTTGTGTTTTTTTTTTTTTTTTTAAATACGTCAGCCAAGATCAACAAGAATGATTGAGAAACTTGCCTGAGATCAGACATGAGTGACTATGGCTGAACAAGGTCCAAAATTCTCCTAGTTCCCAGACTTCAGCATAACCACAAGACCACAGTGCTTTAGCTGAACTTCATCCTCGACTGGAACTTGGCGCAAAGAATCCCAAGGAAAGAATTTCCTTTTGAAGTGTCTTCTAAATGTTCTAACTTGTTTTAACATTTGTATTCAAATAGTTCAGGAAAAACAACTATTAAAGTCTTTGTTCAACTATCTAAATAAATGTTAGGTGTTCCTATTTTTTTTTTTTTTTTAAGTTGGTAGCTTGAAATTTGCCAGAAAGCAAGTAGTTGTGCAGTCTGCAGTCCTCCTTTGAAGGACCTGGACATCAATGGAAGGAAAGTATCAGTGAAGATCTGCCTCCTGTAAAGCAGAAAGCACACTGACTGCTAATAAAATACATTCCATTTCTGGGCAGGAAGCCTTTTTTTGCCAGATTCTTATAGTTCAAAGCACTCCTCTTCAGCAGTTGTTTACTGTTTTGCTGGTTTTATTTTTTTTTACATAGATCTTGAGTGGGAAATGTGAAAAAAGTTTAAAGTTAAATGTGCCCCTAATGTATCGGGGAGGGGGGGATAATAACTTTAGAAAATGTTCCCCTCTTAAAGAGTTCCTTAGGATCCTGCATATATCAGGTATCTTTGATAAGATACCTCTCCAACGAAAACTGACAGCATAGTTTTTGAAAAAACAATGGATTTTTAAGAATAAAAGCAATTAGCTATTTAAATGAAGTGTCATTCATGAGGCTGACAATTCCATAGTGATATGCCTGGTGTGTCTGTTACCTTCTCTTGTTTCAAAAGTGAGCCACTTCAGTCAAGTGCATTGACTGTCTCAGCAAGAGTATTATTCTGTATTTGTAAAGCTTTTCTTCCTGTAGAGGTAGTGTTACTGATTTGGTTGAAGCGAGGTGGTGTAAATCCCTCAGCCTTGCTGTTGCCTGTGAACTATGAGCACAGGACAGTGTTAACAGTCTTGCCCAGAGGGTGAATAACATGGGAGACACGTAAGAATTCTTTTCATTTGTGCACTTGCAACTCATTTGTTTGATAGCTCTACTTGCTCAGTCAAGAGCTATGCTTTAAACAGTGGTGCTGCCCTAACTGTACCTCAAATGCAGGAGTTCCAACTGTTTCTGAAAAGTTTTTAAATTTTTAATTACAAGCATGCAGGTGTGCTTATATGCTCCTTGCAGTCTGACCTGTCCTGTATGTAGCTAGTCACGTGCTAACTCCTGCACAACAGCCAGGCAGCTGTTTAGCTGGAGCCTCAGTTTATCTCACTAGCTCAGGTTTAGTGCTTTTGGATCTTGCTGGCTTAAGTGCAGGTTTGTCTTAAAAGACCTTGTGGACATACCCGACACAGTGCCAGAGCAATGGCCACAGCAGTCAAGGGATGCAGTTTGCTGCCACTGCTCAAGCAAGTAACGGTTTGACAAGCTGCCCAATCTCATAACTAACAGAGCCAGCATGGTTGAGCTCTGACAGCTAAATACACTGGTACTAAGAAACAAGTTAACTATTTACATACAGTATAAAAACTAAAAAGGACACCATTTTAAATTGGATTGATCTAATTAAAAATAGTTAACTTTGAGACTAGTTAAAACACTGGATGTTAGAACATCACAGGAAGAGTGTATCTACAGTGTATTCTGCTCTGTTGTTCAAGGTTTTTTAAAAAAAGGTCTTTATAATTGGATGTGATGTTAACTATAGCACACAGAACCTCCTGTTGCAAGTCTAATTTAACAGTTCAAATAGGAGTCACATTGTGTTATTTTAGCCACAAGTTATTTAAGAAGTGGCTCAATACTACTCTTCTTCAAAGGCGCATCAAGGTAAGTGCAACAGAAATTCATTCTAAGAAAGTCTATCATAATCCAAGCTGACTAGAATGCAGAACATGAAATAATGTATTGTTGAAATGTACTTTTTTTCCTAAGAACCTCAGCCTATGATTTTAAACATTATGTGACCTGCCCACCCTGAATTTGAAAATACTGTCTTGAAAACATTCTGCCTGAGATCTTTAACTTAGAGGCCTTTTTGAAAAACAACCAACACCTGCTATAAAATCAAAGGGATTATAAAGTTAGAACAGTAAAGGAGAAGCTATCCTGGATACACTATAATCTAGAAATACAATTTAAAAACTTTTTTTCCTTGAAAAAAAGCTGGTGCAGAGAATACTGCTGTTTTTATCCTGACTGTTTAATAATGGCTAAGAATAATCACTTATTTATAATAAATTAGGTCTGCAGTATAAATGAACATATGAACCTTTCAAAGGAGACATACTATTGTTACTTTTAGAGTATCTAAAATGAATTTAAACTATTTCAAGATTCATTTAATCACTTGTAATTTATATTACTTTAAGAATCTTCTATACAGCAAGTTGAACAGAAAAAAGCAAACATTCTAACAGTCCCTTTTCCCTAGAACAATTTTCATAGAAGATAGTTTTAAATAGCTGTTTTAGCACATTTGTGCGTGCTCTCTCTCCCCCATTTTCTAAAGGTAGCTCAGCCAAAAGACAATGCAAGAATTGGCATTTGTTGACTGACTCTGTTTTCTTCTCCATCTGGTAAAGATAAGGCGAAGACAGAGACTTGAGACAGAACGTCCCAAAATGGAAAATATGAACTCGATGTTTACTTTGCTAAATCTCCAGGGACTTTGTTCTTTTCCTTGGTTATAGTTGATAAAAACCACTTCACTCTGTGTCGGCATGTCACTCCATGTTCAGTTACAAAAAGTTTTCAGCTGTGGATGAATTTGTTTTGAAGCTTCCATTTTGCTTCACTGAACACAGTGTAAACCAAGGCAAGAAAAGTAAAATCTGAACAGGAGCTCCCAATTAAGAATATTTATGAGCAGCACTTTGTATATTCCATTTTCTACTGTCCTTATTCTGGGGAGGAAGAATCGTCATCTTCATCCTCTTCATCTTCATCATTGAATGAGCATGGAGTTTCTCCCCGTGATTCGGAGTAGCGTGATGCTGCACTGCTGGACTGCTGACTGCTAGGGGCAAGAAACTGCCCAGTTGCTAAAGCCACTTCAGCATCCAAACACAACCCTGGATTCTCACTATCAAAACAACAGAAATGTTGAAGTTTAGAGGATTTCTCATGAAGTTTGAAGCTTTCTTTTTGGCCTCTGCTTTCCTTTAGTTAAAGAAATGCTACTAACCAAAAAAAACCCCAAAGCTTTACCTTTAACACAGCTAGTAGTTATGAAAACTGCTAAAATATTGGAAAGTCATATAAAAAAGATTATTGGGTGGCTTTTTTTCCATAACCAACTAGTAGAGTTGCTCAAGCTTAAAAAAGCTTAAAGAAGAATAAATCCATCACAGTTTTGTCAACATACAGAACTGTTTGTAATATGAAATGAAGCTATTAAATGCCACGAGGAAGACCCTGTTCTAGGATAACCCCTCCTTCCATTTTTTAAGGTACAGGTAACCTCCAAGCAAAGTATGGTTGTTGAGGTGTTTTTTGGATTGTGTTTTTGTAATTTTTGTTTTTTGTTTAGTTGTTGGTTTTTAATTTAAAATTATGATTAGACTGTGTGGACTAAACTTCTTTCGTGAGAGCTTAAGCAGTAGTGCATTTAGACACCAAACATTCTTTTGTATTCTTCAGAAGTATTATCAGCCTTTTTTTCCACATGTAATTACCTATTTGTAGTCCATGCCCAGGCAGGAATTTAAGGTTAATCAGGAAATCTCTATCCTTATAGTAAGTGGGATTGGAAGTGATTCTATTCTTTTGAAACATAGATACAAAATAGCTAGTATGTTCAAAATTCAAAGCATGCTGATTTAATCTTTCAAATGTTATTATCCAGGATGACAGAATTAAGAGACTTTCCCACAATCAAAAATCAACCATAACAGACCCATTTCCTGAATATAAATGGTATGAAATAGGGAGGTTACTGAAAGTACCATAAGCATATGTCACTATCCTTGAATAAAAACCCATTTTATTTACCTTGATTTAGCATCAGAAGCGCCTCCTGCTACCTCTAAATGTGAAACTGCTTGTGCTGAACTTGAAAGTAACCCTTGGTTTATCCACGAAAATCCTGCAGACATATCTAGAAGAAAGCGTAATTTTATTTATGCTAGTTACTTACATTTTTTCCCTGCCTTTTATAATCTTAAACTTTGCATTCTCTTTGCAGTTAGGATTCCTTAGTTTAGAAGAGGAGGTACCAGTAGCTCGAGTTTATTTTATACTGTAGATGTGTCCTGTTTAATCAAGATGTAATTATACATACATATACCCCATTGTTTGTGGATGCACTCAAGCCTTGCAATCCCTTGCACTCAGAACTCTGGTTATTTCTATGAAGGTTTTCCCTCTGTCTGAAGAGAATTCACACTGCAGACGACCCCAGCTAGTAGCCGTATCAATCAGAGGTACCTGAAACAGAGTTTTGGAATCCTTCACAGAAACTTCCTCCTACAGACTGATCCTATGAAATGCCCCAACAGCTCTAAGTGCTTTTGCTGCTGCACTTGGTGAAGGTATAAATGAACTGTACTTGTCAGGACTGGAGATACTGCAGTGAAGCCACCGAGGCAGGATGCCTTTCAGTCATGTGTGTTCTGATGGCCAAAGGCAGTTTCATCTTGGTGCTCTCGTAGCTGCTGTAACGCATCCTCCTAACCCATTCTGACACTGAATAGAGATGGCAACCATCAGCTGTGGACAGGAACAGACCATGTCAAAGGTCTTGTGCAAAGAGTATGCAGGAAAGACCCTGCTATACACTGCATGTGTGATGTGTTAAGTCAGTCTCCTCCCTAGGGATAGGAAATTTTTGGATTAAAATGGTCTTGCAATAATGCTGAATTCCTTGAGTTAATTTCTTAAAAGCCCTGAGGGACAGGAATGGGTTACTTACAACCCTGACAGTACTTGGTTTCAGATTCCCTAACAAGTGATGCTCGTCAGTTGTTTCCAGTTATGCACATTTCTGCCAAGAAAATCAGCAAAGAAAATTAATTGACCCAATTACTCTTACAGGATTTGGGGACCAGGGGTGTTTTTGTTAGATAAGGTGTTTCTATAGACCCACCCAAATTCCATCTCAACACAAAGTTAAAGTCAAGTTATCAGGACCATCTAGTTCTTTTTCATGGCGCTTGCATATGGTTCCAGCTGTGTGCATTAAACCAGGAATTACAGTCCTTACAGGTTTCTATGCCTAACCAAACCTCTGTCCTGTACAGCACAATGGCAGTAAAATGGGACTGTACTATTCATATTTTACCTAGAATCGCTCCCTAATAGCAGGAGGAATAACTAAATGTGTGTTTGTTACATACCCTTTCTTATTTGTCCTGTTTTCTTGTTAAGCTTTGGCTGCTTGAGATACGCCACTGCAGTGCCTCCCACAGGGATTGTTCCCGGCAGGTTGTCACAGCCATATTAAATTGGCTCCCCATGCACTGGGACCCGCAGGCTACCCTGCTTTGTGCTGTGGAGACTTGTTAGCAGTGCGGTATTTAAATGACGTTACAAAGCAAGGTGAGCAAGGCTGATGTCCTGCCAGCACAGCCTTTGGAACATGATGGTGAACATTAGTAAGTGGCAGCTTTGGGGTGAGCTATGAGTAGATGAGAATAGTTGAATATGGACTTAGCTGGATGGCTTTCATTAAGACTGCCCTAAATGCAGGTTTGTTTTTACAGCGAACGTGTTCTGACAGTCTCCTCCTGTCTTTTCAGGTGGCCGAACCATTTGGAATGACTGCATTGTATTTAGATTAATAAAGTGGATTAGAGATATATCACACGGTTGTTTCCTGGTCTTTTGAAGGGCTATACCTGTGTGTACATGCTTAATATTCCAGAAGAATAACAAGTCACTGCTAGTAATCTTGCATTTTATTAATGTTTTGGGATAATAGCTAGTTAGCTTTTCTTTTTGAAGATCAAGGTGAAGGAAAGTATGGATTTTGCATGTAAGGCAGAAAAAGGTTCACAGATGCATACCCTGCCTTGTACTTTCATTGCCTTGTATTTCTAAATCTGTTTTTCAGTGGGCTTTGAGGAGCCAAGGAAAAGAAGTAATCTGTGAAAGATGGGGAGTTTAAGAAGCCATTTCTGGTCTGGAAAGGACTGTCAAAATAGAAGTCTGCCTACAGTGAGAACACTGACCACTTCTAGCAGAGTAGATGCTAATAGCTACAGTTATGAACCAGGGAAAGCAGCTTAGAAAAAACTTCCCAAGGTGGTACTGTCCAATCTACGAGTGGCATCCTTATTATGAACTAGGCATATCTTGTAGGAGATAGACTTGGTAGAAATGTGTCCTTTCCATGAGGAGGCTCTAAAGGAATACCTGCAATAGGCTTTAGTGGTTGCTGCAAAAGCCAAAGAGCTGCACAGGATTACGGATGGTAGCTGGACATTCATTCATTCAGTGGGTAACTCTTATCTCCTCAGGTCCAGCTCCAGCCCATTTTCCAGCCAAGGCTTGTTACGTAGGTAGATCGCAGAGCACTTCATGCAGGGAAGAGTAAAGAAGTCTAATCTAGAGGTCCTAAACTGCACCACTTTCTCTCCCTGCTGCCTTAGTGGGATACATAGAAGTGGGATAGTATTACAACTCAGTGCCTCAGAATCTTTATTTGCTGCTTTTTTTAATCTGTACTCTCCTTTCTAGGAGTGAGGACTCAACTGACAAAGGAAGCACTTGGTTTTGCATTAATGGCCTGTAGTATACACATGGCTTAAAAGGCACAGGGTGCTACTCTGGCTGTGGTTCTACAAGAGTTGCTGTTCACCCAGCAGTCTCACTCCCTCCTTTACACTTGAACTGTTCTGCTTTGAACCCTTAGCTAGGCAGTTCTACCCGACAGATTGCCAGAAACTCCTCTACCAGATAAAGAGCCTGCAGTTCAGTACCCCGAACCAGCTCATGAAGAGGGCAGAAGAAATAATTGTGTCAAAATGAAAAAATGGGCAGCAATGTGTAATTAGGATTGTGGCCCAAGGATGCCATCTTAAGCTGGTGCAAGTGTTGTATTAGAAAGAACATTGCTCCTCCTCTAGTAAGAAGCTGGCAAGTGCTGTGGTTGCAGTGCAGCCTGTTGTATGTCCACCACTTCTGGATCACTAATTTAGTTAATGCAACACTTCAATGTTAACTTTTAGTGTAAGTAATGGTTAAGCTGCTGTATACTCTACTCTTGCTCCCTCCTGGGAAACAAGAAAAAGTAAGGTCAGATCATGTCAGTGTTAGAAATATGCATCAATTATGACAATTGAACAACAAAAAATGTGTTACAAATATCATTTAAGATGTATGTAATATTTTTCTTTATGGCATTAATATGCCTTAGGTTCTACTGATTACTGTGGCAGTCAGACACCCAAGGATCATGCCAATGCAGTACTTAAAATATGTATTAAAAGAACCCAAAACTTTTTTGCCAAAACATCATGAAACCTATAGAAAACTAGAAGACACTACTTCTATCAAATTAGAGCCCTTGAAGAATAGCTAAAACATAAGAGCCTCCTGCAAAGAAAACACACTAATACAGTTTTGGTGCACACAGCATCAGTTGAGCAGTTCCAAGAAAATTGTTTGGCATATTTAATGCAATTAGAAGTTACTTTTTTTTTTTTTTTTTTTAAAAGCTGAGATGGTCCAAGTTTTTGGACCATTTTGAATTTTTTTCATTGCTTGGATTCTTCCAGCTGTTTCTCCAGTCCTATTAGCAAGCATTACAGTACCAACTATCATTAGTATTTGGAAGTCAGTAATGGCCAGGTTAAGGTCAAACTAACATTGTACAGGAAATGACTTACCTACTTAAGACACATTAGAACAGGACTCGTTTCTACTGCAGTTGAGTTCATGGAGTCCGCTAATGTGGGAGAACTTTAATCTTGTTTGTAATAAATTTACACAGTGAATAAGTAAGAGACCTTGATTTACTTTTCTTGTATAGTGGTAATTTAGGCCAGCGTACTTAAAAGTGCCATCATGAGAGCTGTGGAAATAACTATGAATTCTAAAAATCAGTGATGAGCCTGCCATTTCACTACTGGTGCAGTGTAAGAAACAGTGTCTAGAGACTGCTCAGGGTAAAATGGGAAGTTAAACTTAACCGAAACTACATCATCAGGCAAATGCTGGCTTTTCAAGTGTGCAAAACATTTAAATTTTTTCCTTGTCAGTTACTGCCATTAAAAACCTCTACTGTGCAATTCATACTCTCAACTGTAGATTTCTGTTGTGTAATTGTATCAAGCAACAGATAGAAGAAACCTTTAAAATAAATGTACATCCTTCAGTAACACTTCTGGACTATTTTTTTCAGAGGCTCAAGCAGCTGAACCCGTGTCTGAAGAGCACGTTACTTGCCCCAGTGCATTCTGAGTAAAACAATAAAATCAATACATTTCTTACGATTAAAATTCTAGATAGGTTTCTGGCTTGCTGATCTGCTACTAAGGAAAAAACCTTAACCACAACATTCTTTAAGAATATACAATCTTAGAATGTTTTTTTCCTGTTCAGATTCTTTGAAACAGAGTACTACTTGTTTCTCACTTGCACAGGAACATCACGGTTGTTTTGCCTTTAATGCTTTCAATAAAAAACCCCACCAGCAGTACACTGGTGTGACTCAATTTTTTTCAAAAGAAACTAAATTGAACTACTGATCACCAGTTTAGACATGTAGTTCTATTGCTGAACTTTAAAGGCTGGTTTTACTCGGTAAACAGTGTAATGACACAGGGTTTTTTTGCAAATGTAAAGAACTCCTATTCTCTAAACATAATTAATGCAGGTTTAAAATGAAATGGAAATTTTAGTTTGCTCCTCGATATATGGGAGTAATTAAGTCTTGCAGACTGCAAGACTATTAAAACATGTGGGTTCTGCTCCTTTCCCCCTTTTTGGTTGGTAGTACATCATGTGGGAAATAATTTTTAGTTGAATGAACCTGCAAGTACAAATCAAGATTTCTTTCAACTTCTCTTTTTGGCACCAGTGTGTAATTTCAAAATTGACTGAAATTAAAATATGAAATCTTGGTTTTAAAACCCACAGGACAAAGGGAGCAGAAAAACACAAAACAAGTGTTGATAAACATAAGCATATTTGATGTAGTTTGAAATGTTAAGTAATATAAATATACCAATTTTAGTGAATGTAACTGAATTCTAATTTATATCTGGCACTATTTTGACATCACAAATTTTAAGAAAATGTTTCATTCTTAACTCTTGCATTGTGAAAACACAACTACAAAAATACATGTTCAGCTTCCTGACTACTTAAATGTATTTTTCTTAGTAAAACAAAATAGCATTTTTAATATAAAGCCTGCATTTAAAAGATCCTGAAATGAAGACTGTGTGTTGTCAACAGAAGGGAATCAACTTCAGGAAAGTTTTCAAAAAACTAAGTGAAACGTTTGAAGTTTCTGACCTCCCTGTGTGACAGACACTGTTTCATACTACTGTAATTTAAAAAAGACCAAAGCCCATTCAGTGGAGGAGTCAGTGCAACAGCTTTGTTCCCTCTGTCCTCAAAAATGAAGGTCTGTATACAGTACTTTATGGGGTAACACTTCCTCTACAGACGAAGTCCCTCCAGAAACTTGAGAAAATGTTGGGCTAAGTTTAACTTTGGGTAGATCAAGAAGAATGTAGTCTGACAGTAACTAAAGGAAGCCATTAATAATTTTAGAAGCTCTAGTCCAAAGATGCAACACTGAAGGAGATCTAGGTTTGAGTCTGTTTAAGTGTGACCTGTTCAAACAGTAACTAGAGGAGGTAAAAGCCTCTGCATGGGACACCTGTCCTGGGAACTCTTGGGAGCCTCTTGCAGCCTCTTGCTTTATTTAGAGCCACTCAGTTCTCATATGGTACCTGCTGCCCATGTGCTTTATTCAAGTATCCCTGGTTTACATGTTAAGTAAGCATCTAAATAAGTGGACGCAGGAGACCCTACTGTGTATTGAGAGTACACTGAACATCTCTGCACAGACAGAGATCTGGACAATTCTTAGCAGAGATTACCTACCTCAGGAAAGTAAAGTGCAAATGCAGCTGGGTCACACATGGATTACTCTCAACTACTTAAAGATGCCCCTTTTTCTTTCCTTTTCCTCCTCAACCTGAGAAGAGCTGCCTTCTTCCAGTTTGCTCCTCCACACATTGAGAGTTATTCAAAATTAATACTGACCCATGAAAACCCATTTTTTGTGTCAATTCAGTTATTTAAGAAACAATTTCTTCACAAGACAGCTCACTCAGAAGTTTGTTGTTATAAATCAGTGTGAATTAAGTTTGCAGAACGACTATGAACCTTACAAAATTCACTGTAAACCAGCTCATTCTGTAGCAACCCTACGACCTCCCACATAACTTCAACTTCAAATGTTACATAGCTATGTAGGTTAATGTAATTCAGTTCGCTTCAGTTAACTAATGTTATGAATTTGATCAGGAGCAATATTTAAAAGTCTTACCTAACTTACCTGTGATGTAGCCTTCTAAAGCTTTTGGCACCAGTGATTTTGCAGTTCTTAGGTCCTCAGCTGAGCATTTGCCTGCCTCAAGCCCAAAGGACATTCCCATTCTCTTCAGCACCTCACTGTCATCATGAATCTCAAAGGTGTTATCGAAATTAAAGAGGTATTCGAATCTGCACGTAAAATGTCAAAATGAGACTGTTTTGAAAAGAGCCTACTTCCCCCCCCCCCTTTTTTTTTTTTGGTATGCACTGAGGTAGGTATCTAGATTCTTCCATTATCTGTAAAGAGTTCTTAAGGAAAAAAAAGTGCAGCAAATGCTTTTTCTCTTCTGCTTCTGTGACTGGCATGCCTACATGGTTTAAAATGGCACTTTCTCAATTCAAGTAACTTCACCACTGCAGGAAAAAAGTCTAATACTTTCTGCCTCATTAAACAGACTCAAAGGGGGAGAGGGAGGCCTTACTAAACATGAACCTTCACTTCCACTGAATCCAGTACTTTTAAAGGTCACCTGCAGCCCTGTCACCAAATTTTGCTTCTTTTACATTTCACTTTCTGTTCTAATGTGCAACACTCCTCCTGTGAACTGACCTATTTACCTTGGTATAACTTTGCTTTGTTGGATGCATTTGGATGCAGTTAGTAAAGCAGTCTGTTCAGAGTCCTGTATGTTAACAACCTACCATTTCTGCTGCAGGACTCTCAAAATGTTTTTCATTGCATATGAAAGTGGAAATAGTGATATAAACTTAATATAGCTTAAAGAAAAGCAGAGGCACCTAGGCTGACTTTATGCTATGATCACAGGCTATTAAAACTTTGGACAGCACTGGTCCAGGGGTTACAATATGAGGCTAGTTCCCACTACCACATTTTCTGCCGACAAAACCTTTATCCCTGGAAAAGCAACCCATCCATGAGGTAAGATTTTTAAAAGATAACTCAGTGGCAGGTCTTCCATTAGCTCTCCAAGTTTGTGTAACGTGGATTTTCTTAATAGTTTTTCTTATACCTGATCCAGTAAGTTTGGAAAAGTTACATCTTTTGTGCCTATACACAAAATTTTCATCTAGAAATCTACATGCTTTGTACTAGGTGGAATTGTCACTTACAGACATAATTTTTGTTGTGATTCATATGGTATTATTTGTAAAACCTATTCTTTATGCAGCTGTATTTATTTAAACATAACCACTTTAAAAGGGAAAAAAAGTATGTGTCACCATACCTTTAATTGGCACAATTACATTCCTGCTACCTAGGCTGGTGCAAGTCACATAACTATGTTTATAGTTATAGTTTTATGTTTAAGAAGCAACCGTGTACAGTTGTTCTCTATGTACATTCCTCATGTCATCCATGATTTTGTAGACACCCATGGATGCACTCTCCTCTCTGTTCTAGGCCAGAGAGTCCATCTGTTCCTTCTCTTAAAGTCTTTTCATAGCTTCAGGCGTTCCTGATGCCCTCCTGTGTCTCTCTCCTGGTTATGCTAAACTCTTTCCAAGAATAAGACAGCATATAGTATTCCAGATATAAAAGCACTATACATACACAGTTTTATATTGTATTTCTTACTGTTTTTCCTAATAATTACCAGCATCTCTTACTGAGAAACTTTTGCTCTCATAGAATGATCTACTGGGCTGCCATCATACTATTCAGTGCTAAAGACTAGGTCCAGAGGCCAGTGCTGTGTATGCGTAGTTTGGGTACGATTCCTGTCCCTTTCCCATGGTTAGTGCAAATTTGATCAACAGTGAATTTAATCTGGATTTTCTGCTCTTGCAGACAAATCTCTCTCTAAGGGTACAAGAGCTTACTTCCTACACCTTTTCTCTAATGTATAGCACTGTATCTCCAGTGGCAAAATCAGCTGTATTTCCTATCAGAATAAAGATGTTCTAATTTTCCAAGTTTCTGATACATCTGTTGCGTCTGAATGCTTGTTTAAAACTAGGTATTTTGGTTCCTTTTTTTCTCCTTTTCCTAAGACCTACAGCATTTATATAAAAGCATCATATACACCAAATATATTTTTCCTGTTCAGGTGCCTCATCTTTTCAAAACAATTTTTAACTTCTTCCCTTCTATCTGAAGACTCTGCTTTCTTTACAGCAACTTCAGAAGCGTCATTCCCAGTATTCTGCTTGGCACCCAACTGCCTTCTCAAACTAAACAAAACTTGCCCAATAACATCTTTTTTACACATGTGAGAAATTACAATCTGTTTTGGCTAGATAAACGCTATTTTTGCATAGGAGAAAACTTAGAAGACACAAGCCTATGTTTCTCATGATGCTAAATCCCCCTTACATGTATCACTTTTCCAAGCAATTATTTTCTTTTGGAAGATCCTCTGTAAAGAGAATTTTGAGTAGCTAATGCTGTGAGCTTATCTGTTCATTGGACTTTCTAACATCACCTGCTGTTGTATCATAAATACCAACCAACCAGTGCTTTATATAAATGTGACTTGGTAGAAGAACGGTAAATGGAAGCCCATTACAAGAGAGGGTTATTAAGTAAGGTTGAAACCACTTGAAGGACAAGCACCCAAGCTGACCAGTAATGTGGTTAGGCAGCAGAAATACTCCCCAATAAAGTACAGATTTTGAATTCTCCAAACTGAGTGACTACTTTTTCCAATTGCCTTGTTTAGCAGATCAGCGTAACAGTGGTTTAAACACTAGTAGTTTCTGACACTGTTTATCTACATACTGCTGCTGCCGCTCATCAGTTGCACAAATACCCAGAGTGGAAAGCTTGTTTAATTTGGGTTGTACACTTAATGATCTCCAGTTGACAGCAATATTGAAGCTGGGTTACATAAACTGGAATATCAACCTCAATAATTTTGGTGTGCTCATTTTTAGTACTAGTGTTTTCTTACAGTTTGAGATTGTAGAAGCATGTTACACTTCTTAGATCCCAAATGCCAGCTTAATTTCCAAAAACTTCAAACCTAAATGTAGAGCACAGCAGCAAGTGCAGCAAGAACTGTACAGTATGCCTATAAAATAAGGGTATAGTTAAGCTAAATCAATATTGATCCTAAAATTCCCAACTGCTGAACTGCAGTGCTGATGGGAGTATTCCAAAAGTTTTGTCACAGAATGTACTGGAATTCCGTCTAATTTTCTCCAAAACCTCAACTTTTAATAGGGTTGCTTTTTTGCATGTTGGTTCTTAAGTTACTAGACACGGTCTATTTTTGCTGCACATTAATTGACTTGGAAGTTCAATACAGGATTTGTATACCACAGGGTGAAATCTGTAATCTACAGTATTAAAGCAAAGCCAGCTATTTTCAGCTAATAAACTAGTTGTGATCTGATTAACAGCTAATGTAATAGTACCTCATACTTCCAGCCATATCTTCACAGAATGAAGAGCATAAGCACCCAGAAGTAAGTGGAAGATTTTCAGATTAATGTAGGAGTGCAACTATAGCCTTTTGCTTACAAAGACAGCATTTCAAATGTCTATGTAATTTACTTCCTTTTTTCCTTCAAAGAGTTAGGTGCAACCTTTTTGCTATTAAAAGACACTTTCAAAGTTGTTTTTATCTCCTCTAGGATGTTACTTTTGTGTTACATGGATCACTTTGTGTTTCTGACTATATACACTTATGGCATATTAGGAATAAGAATTCAGAAGCACTACCACATGGCTAATTCTGCCCTAGTATGTAATTTCACTCAGTTATTTCTCCTGTGCAGTGAATGCTCTGAAATGCCAGTCTGAAGTGCCTTTTACAACAGTGAAAGTCAGCCTGTTTTAACTAGAGGTAGTAAAGCAATGTTGATAAAGTCAGTCCTATTATTACTGTGGTTGCATTAAATATTAAAAAAAGCCAAAACCAAAACACCCCCCTGAAGGGACAATAGAAAATTTAAATACGTAATTGCTTTTACTAAACTAGAGAAATTTCTCTCATTTGTTCAAAGAAAAATTCCAGTCCAAAGAAAATAAAATTCTAAAAATGGATTCCATAAACACTCACTTATCACTTGATATGCTGCAGTCTATAACTGTTCTTTTGCTAGTGTTGACTATTAGGAAAGGCAGCTGTATAGTTGAGTTCAAAGCTGGAGGGCCTTGATTTTGTTGTTCGTTTTGCTGATTTCTTTGTACCAAGTTTTTGAAAGCTATTTGCTGTAGAAAGAAAGAAAAAACAATCACTGACAGTAAAAGATCAGTGTTTCTAGGAAGTGGAACTTCACAGCTCTAATTTACAAACTCTCAATACCTCCAGTATTTTTCTGTCAAAAAGGAAGCTGTGGCCTGACTTCCTCTTAGCACTAGTGAAGCTCACCAGGAACAGAAGTTAAACACTAATTTTTCACACATATCCTAATGGCTACAGCCCCCTCACAATCCCTGGAGAAGAAACAAGAAAGGAGCAATAAAGCTTGCTGGTTCCCATGGTTCCCCCCGTTCCTTTTAAAAAGGCACTGGAGTCAGAGGTCTCCTCTGTTATTTGTATAATGCATAATTACATCTCAGGCTAGGAACTAGTTACACTGAAACAAAAGTTAACAGAAATTACAGCATCCCCCCACTTCCTATGATCCGTATTCTCTTCCCCTTCTCATTCATCATCCTCTTTTCTCTCTCCAGAGTTAGTTTTGAAATTTTCCTCTGAAAGTTTTTATACAACAGATGTTTGTGACACCACTCGCTCTCTACTGAATCTTATATCTGACTGCATATGTATGAAAATGTGCGTTTTTAGGAAATGTTATTTGTGGGATTGGAAGCCAAGTGTACTTACCCACTTTGAGGCACTACTTATTCCACTTAATGGGAAGATGGACAGACAGAACCCCAAAGGACTGGTAAACCATTTGTCAATGAACACAGTCAAGGAAAAAATGACAGTTGGAAATAGTAAGGGAATGCAACTCTGTTCAGACTAATAGTTGCCTTGTTTTCACCAGGATAATTTCATGTTATTCTTAGAGAAGCTGCTAATTTATTAGGTTGGACAGACAGAATCAGAGTTGTGCCCCAAACATAGAAACAATTTTTGGTGATGACAAAAGGAGATGTATCAGATACTTAGAAGTTTTAGTGCATATCTAATGACATGGAAATTTTATCAATATAGTTGCATCAGGAAAAAAAATATAGCCTTATTGCCTGTAACCTCACTAAAAAGTTTGATTGTATTTCAATTACTGGAAGTCTGCACAGACCAAAAGATTTAAGAATGCTCATAACTGTATTTATAAAATGTTACTTTATAAGCAAAGATGCATCTGAAATATATTTCTGCAATCAAAACCAAAACTCAAGTCATCTTGGAGTGCATGTCAGAATGTAAGAGCTGGATTTGCCAGCCTTCCACTCTTAGGATCCAGAAATGTCTATTTCTCCCAAAGCAACTCTGTACATATTTACACAAGTTCAGTTGTTAATCTCATAGTTTAGAATCAAAGACATTTTCCAGAAAGAACTACTCAGAGAAGGTAACTCTCGGGGGACTTGGAGACAACAAAGGGGATTCAGGATTGTTCCCATTCCTAGTAATGTTGACAAAGATTTGAACTTGATAATTTAATTTAGAGAAAAAAATAAAGTTAAATATACCTGCAGCAGCAATTCTTGTAGTTGGGCTCGCTTCTGTTTTATCCTTTCAATTCGCTTCTGTTTTTCTATCTTAAAATATAAACATAAATGTAATGTATCAAGATAATTACTTAGTTACCTTGTCTGTTCCACTGTGCCAAACTGAATAGGCTTTAGAGCTACATCAGTGTGCTAGCATAGCACCATTACAAAAATCCGTACTTTCTTTGTAACTGGTGGTGCATTCCATCACATGGTAAGTAAATCACACAAGTCTTCTCCGCCCTACCCATTTGCCATATTTTTTCTTCTTTTTCAGACAGACTAATCTCATAGCCACAGGAGTTTCTCCATAAAACAGATGGGACAAACTAATTTATTTCTTTGTCAACAATTTTAACTTCAGTAAAGAATCAATTCTTACAAGAGACTGTTATTTCCCCATCCATTCCTCTTTTGTATTGGGCACTGAGTGCCAGTTAGCACCAAATTAAACACTTGCTTAAGTGGGTGCTTTGGGTTGTGGGTTTTTTTTTTTTTTTTTCTCCTGCCCTCCACTCTTGGAAGCGTGCACATCTCTTCCACCACTCTAGCTGCAAACTACTATACAGAAATGTGTGGAGGGGGGGCTCAGGATCATCACCTTCATCTTTCCAGTGACCTCCGCTTTTTGTTTAGACTACTCATTTGAGACTTGATTAAACTAACAAGATTTCAGCAACAAAAAGGGGGTAGAGGTAACATTTTCTATATGAGCACAGAATCCATTTCCTGCAACAGTTTTGTTAACGCCAGTTCATGGGGCAAAGCAATCTTCAACCCAAGTGAGTAGTGTTTGGTTCTGCACTAGTACTGTGTGCCTGCTGATACTGCAGATCACACACACTTTAATGTTTAAAATGCTTCCTTTAGAGCATAGTAGATGACTTTCACTGCTGGGACAAATATAAACTCATAAAACCCATGAACAGTACAGATATAATTTAGACATGGTTTTTACATAACATGCTTTTTTGTACCGATTCCTCATTTTTGTGCTGGTAATCTTATTATGGAATTACACTGTAATACAGCTTTAAAAGCAAAATTAATTCTGATTTTCACACCACGAAAATGCAGCTTTATTTTCTATTCTTTTCTATTATGTCATAGGAACCAACATTTTAAGAAAATATGCCTGGCTTCCATTTTGTGCATATGTAATTAGAGCCTGAAACAATGAACAGAATATGATCATTGTAGGTGACACAATGAAATTCAAGTTCCATATTTGTAACAATAACCTATACAGCAGATAATGCTTTCACATTAATGCATTGAAATTGTAGGTTTATCCATATTTTTTTAAAAAAAAGAAGCCTGGAGTATAATGATTGAGCATATGCATACTCATTGAGTGGACATATTTTCCAAGTTGCTGTAATGGACAAGGATGGTGAAAGCTTTTTTCTTACCACACCTAGAAAGACAATTGATGTAAATGAACCTGCACAAAAACATTGCTCTGTACTAAAGAGGCACCCCACCCACCTTTTAAGATATTTAATGTCACAAGTATCACAAATATAATACATATTAAGATGTATTTACAGTCAGTCATTAAAGCACCCTGCAGTAAATCCAGTAACTTCTGCTTTTTATTTATAGAGCATTTGGCCTGAAGGACAAGCAACATTTGTGCTTATAAATTCTGGCATCCCTGCAAAAACATGGTAACTCTTAGCCTGCTGGAAAAATAATGGAAATAACTAGTAAGTATAACTTCCCTGGCAGTTCATAACTAGTATTTGACATCCTAGCAGGAATTACTTTTCAATTTAATTTCCTTTGAACAGCATTTCCAAGTACAAACATTAATATAAAACTGGTCTCATTTCAAATGTATACCATCTTGTAAGCATAACTTCACCATAAATTCTTTTTACTTTCTTCTAGTGATTCAGGCAAATACAGACTTTAATCTTAAAAGTAATCCCTGATTTAATCAATGTCCATTTTTGTAAGGTAAATGAGGGGTTTTTTAAGCTTCATGTCAGGTATTCTAAGTAAAACTGAAGTAAGCATACATAAACATAGCTTTTCAGTTTATTCAAGTATCATTAGTTGTATTTTCATAACATGCAAGAATCAAAGCCAAAGTTCAAGCTGAGAAAAAAAACCCTCTTCTAAAGTAAAGCAGCACCATTATCACAACCTGTGAGCTATACAGAATTTCCCATCTACTTCACTTTACCTCTAGATTCTGACATTCCTGAGCTGAATTTGTAGGAAGACCGATCCATCTGATTTCCTTCTTCTCCTTTGAAATTATGTTCATTGCCATCAGGACATTAAGGGCATCATAAACTCTCCGTCTAATATTTTTCTGATCATAAGCCTGCTAAGAAAACAATGCAGCATTAATTACAACAAAAAAATTCAAAAAGGAAATAAAGACTGAACACACCCTTTGTAGATATGAAGATAAAAAGCCAAAATGTCAGTTCAAGTCAGAGTGGTATTAAAACATGATGCCTTCATCTGTGCTACTCCCTGAATACCACAGGAGTGTGTTTGGTTGCAAATGGAAGCTTCAGACCTGCTTGAAGCCTCTGTGTAGCAAATTCCCATCATGGCAAGTCTGTTGAGTTGAAAAGCCTGACAAGACCACATATGGTGAGTAAAACAGTAGCCATTTTTAAAAGATAATTCTTTTGGCAGACTTCTCTATTTTGTTTACAATTTAGAGGGAGTTCAATTCTTCATTTTAATTCTCCATTTTTAAATATCAGAGGGTAAATCTCTGTATTTGGGAAGCAGTTACGTAAGTGAAGAAGAGTACGGAGTACGGCAGGACAGTGCAGAAACAGAAGGAACAGAATTCCATGATAAACCAGACAATTTCGTAATGGTATAACAAATTTCAATACATATTTGCTTACCGAATCTGTAGCTAGGTGGCTGTTAGAATTTGTGAATTCTGATACCAGCTCATCAGCAACTTCGTTGTATGAAGTAGTTCCTTTACGTTGAACTTTTTCACATACTTTCATTGAAAAATGCCTCAGACCTTTCCCATTTTTATCTCCTTTTTTGCTTCGCTTACTGGAAGAAGAAAGTTAATTATTTTAATATACGGAATGTCAGTAAGCTACTTAGTTACACAGCAAAAGGTCTAGCTTTTGCAACAGGCATCAGGACTCATGATATTATGTACTGCCTAAATGAAAAACAGAACACTGGGAGCCCTTTTCCCTTTCTCCGTGATTTCTACACTAATAATATTTGAACACATGCTGCTGGGCAGATGTTTAAAGAAATGGATTTGTAATTCATCTCCAGGTAGTTTCACAAAAGAACAGCCAAAAAAAGGGGGAAAACCTCACAGGGTGTTTATGTGCCTGGAAGTCAGATATACAGGGAACTCTCATGTTTGTGCTTAAAACAGAAATGCTCAGACATTCCTATTTACAGTACAGCAAAAGATAGCTTAATTCTCTGAATGGCCAAGTTTAGTATCTGTGCTGTCATAGTTAAGACTGAGATACAAGAATCTCTTGTGGAGAGTAAGTTCACTGTTTTTTATGGTGCCAAATTAACAAGTGGTAACTGTCAGGGTTATTTTCCATACACTTTCTTCCTCCAGAAAAGCAAGAGCTTAGATAATGGTAATAGAACAAACAGGAGCAATTGGTTTTATCACACGAGCTAGATTTGGATGTGTATTTCAACAGAAGCCTTTAAAAAGCTCAGCTGTGTTGTGGGTTTTTTAATTATAGTTTTACAAGTTGGTTTGATAATATGTTTCAGGGAGATCTATTATTTTGCAGGAAAAGGCCTAGTTCTGTCAACAGTAACAAGCTAAGGAAAACATTAAAATACAAGAGTGCTTTTGAAAATTTTGAATGTATTTAAGAGAACATTGGAAAGAAGGGCAGAAGAAAAGAGTGGAAAGGAACACTGGAAGATTAAAAAAACCCCAACACTCCTAATATTTATGCCGTTATTCAACTTGAGAACTTGAGTAACCCCTGAAAGGTAAACAAATAAACCCACTCTGAATGCATTCAAGGTGTCAGAAGTAAAAGAAGAGATCATCTGTTTACAAGTATTTGTCACACTGAAAACTAGAACAATCCTGTTTCTGAAGATGCATTGTGTTTGTTTTTCACAGATGTGAAAATACAGTATAATCTGTAACAGCAAATGTATTTATAAGGCATGATGAGGCAAAGAGTAATTAATTATAACATACAAAATACCTTTTACATGGAGGAGTGAAAACCACTGAAAGTGGGAACTGGACACCCATCTCTCTGAAGGGCAAAGCTGAAGAAGTGAAACACATATGACCATATACATAAAATATATGTTCAGTAATACTCACCTTTCTGAAAAATCTGATTCGATAAATTCTCGAGTCCGTTTTCTGTCCCTAAGAAAAGACAATTCAAACTTAGATGAAAATAACATATATTTAGACCAATGTATTTGGGGCCTAGCTAGGTACTAATGTTTGTTGTTACATGTTTACTGAAAAGGGAAAATAATGCACACACAACTTGACAAAATTTGAGACGAGGTGGTTAGGACTTCAGAGGGTGTCTGAGCTCACTGACAGACAAGTTCTATTCCTAGTTTTATCATGCTTTGACCACATGATTTTAGGGAAATCACTTAATCTGAAACTACAGGAAGTGCTGATGTGAGCTAGATAACCAAATTCCATCAAAAAGGAGAAGCTGGAGTCCTTGGAAAATTCCTATTTAGAATTCCTCCATGTGGAAGAAAAATGCCTTTAAACAGTGCATATATTTTCAGGACATTGAATGTTTTGGTATCTTTAAACAAACAAACAAAAAAAGTAAAACACTAAACGTGTATTAGAGCTGATGCATATGGAGCTGAAGAGAGATACTCTGAAGAAGCAGGTGATGTGAATTTTGCACAGGAGTAGCAGTCACCAATCACTGGTTTCCTTCTTGTTCTGTTTATTAGCTACAGCAAGCAGACTTCAGAAGTTGTATTTCTAATTTGTCTTTTATTCTTGCAGCTGACACAATGCACGTTCTTGAGACCTGTCGATAAATTACTTTGCGTTGTTACCCTGAAGTTTCAAAACCAGGGCTCACAGCAGATACTTACACAGCTAAAAACCTGACAGTGTTACGAAGTGCGCTGAACAAAAGTGACAGATTTGAAGACCTGTGCCAGGCAGTCAGCATGTGTCAGGCTGCACCACCCAGAACCCACCAGCCTTCCTGTGCAGCAGGGCGGGCCTGCCGGCTTGGGCACCCGCTGTCCATGGTGCTGACCCGCAACCTGCACCCCGGGGCTGAGCCTGGAGCCGCCCCGAGTGGGGAGCTGCGCATGGTCTGCGAGCCAGGCTGCCGGCAGCTGGACAGAGCTCCGAGAACCAATATGCTCTAGTCTCATTTGATTTTGGGAACAATTTGGAATCTGCAAGGAGGAGTAAACAGTGGGTAAAGCAAGGAGTGTGGATTGCAGTCCTAAGGAACTGTCTTCAGCAAGGGCTCACCGCCTAGGTTCAGCAATACCACAGACCTCACCTTTGTTCTGCAGATGAAAATATGACCTGTTGTATGGACTTCTGCATGTATCAGTATTGACTGTCCAATCAGAACATCTTGCTCTTTTTTATCAGTGAAACAATAGTTAGGCTCATTGGAAATACTGTGTCTAGATTTTGATGGTATACAAACAGAAGGATGGTGCTTCTCCTTGGCAGTGGTGGTTAATGCACTGCAACTAGGCTGACCTCTGGGAATCTCCATCACCTGGGTTGGATGAGGCTTCAGAAAGCTCATGGGCACTGATTCTCTGGTTTAGCAAGCTGTGAACAGACACGATAGCTTTTCCCTCTTCTATGTACTAAAAGAATTTCTGCCTGACCACCACATTTCACAAAATTTGCAGAAACAAAGCAATCTTTGACAACTCCTTTTTCAAATAAAATGAGAACGAAGTGGATTCAAAAGGTATTTGAGTTGGCTCAGCTGGCCATGGAGTTTATTGACTCTATGGTGGGAATACAATGACTGGAAAGTACAAGCCTGTGACAGTCCTTGCTTACAGCATGGAACGAAGAAAGTCAAGGTACAAACATTATACTCTCATTTCTGCTGTTTCCTAGATGCTCCATCTTCCCACCTCTAAAGCTGTAAAGGTACTACTGACATTCATCACCTGTTTAGAAAAATTAACCCAGATATGGAAATAAACTACTTTTTAACTTTCAGAGGCAAAGCACTACATCTGTCTTGAGACAAGTAAGCTCAGCAGTACTGGTACTAACATAAAAAAATATCGTGAAACACTGTAAAGAACCAGATTTCCTTAGAAGAGATAACTCTGTTACTCTGGAGGACCTCAGAATCCCATGAAAACTTGTTGCTACTGTAAAATAGTAATAAAAATACAACATTGTTGTTAAAAATTTTCTTAGAGCTTTATTCTTTAATTTCTCTTGAAGTGTTTTTGACAGTCTCCCTCCCTGTTCGCTCCTGCTGATACACTCAACAGCAAAGCTGCTTGGATATACCATGAACTTATGAAAAAAATAAAGGCTTCTTTTAACAAGACTCATGAATTTGTGACTCTCCATTTTCACAAAGAAATAGACACTGACATAAACCAAAATTAAAACAGGCAGTGAAGTGACCAGTGCTTGTATGTCTACATTTACATGCTTCAGACATCGGAAGAGTATACTCCTCTTAGTTATGCAAGAACTAGAAGCTGTAAAGCCAACATATAGACACAGCAGTATAAATAAAGGAAGAAATCAGAACAGATCCTCAAACATCTTTAAATAAACCAAAAATCTTACCCTGGGACCCAGCCAGAAGCTTCTGTTATGTGTGTCTGTGTGACCATTGTTGGAGCTGGGTTATATGCACTCCCAATCAGAACACTCCCTGAATTGGTCAATCTTTGTGATGTGCTTATGATCTATGAAATTTGGAAATAAAAAACACAGCTCTCTTAAGAAAAGAGCGATTACCACAAATAAAAACACAGCTCTTGAAAAAACAGATATTGCCACCCAAAATTCATAATAAGCATGGTACTAAGAAAAAACTAACAATTCTGTACCAGATGCAAGTTGCAGTCAAAATATACAGAAGAGATGTCATCAGAAGATCCTCACACATGTAAGTAATTACAGTACTGTTTTCTACTAATTTTACCATGTTACTGTATTATTCATATGAACAAGACTTATACAAACAGAAATAATTACTATGGCAGACAGGATCTGTACCTACATACATACATCTTGTTTCTTCAAGACCACAACTAGGCAACAAGCCAAATATTGATCAGTGTAATCAATAAAGCCTCCTTTCGAATGGATCTGTCTCCTCCAATTGCCTGTCTTTGGTACCAAAGACGATCTGAGCTGCAGACAAATTATTCCCTGCAGTTTCTAGCACTCACAACATCTCAAGGCATTTCAGCAAGCTAATAATACAACACTGTACCTATGGAATTAAATGTAAAGTCTACACAGTATAGATAGAATTTACATTTATTCAAACCTGATGAAATTGTATCCACATTGGTTGTTAACACTGAGACACCTGGTCTCAACTTTTAAATCACATCTAAGTTCATTCTTTAAAGTCGGTCACCAGAAGAATTTAGGTAGTATTTAAAAATGAAACTGTATAAATTAGTTAGTCTTTAAAATAAAACATGTTAAATTATTTTTATTCCAGTAAGGTAAGATTCATGCCAAAGCTTCTTGAACAATGTTTTTTACTCATATACCTTATTTTGCTTTTTTAAACTTTGTTTTACTTTATTTGCTAGTGACATATTAAACTTTGTACTTTCTTTTACTACTTAACTTACCTAACACCTGTGTAAGTATACGGCAGATACTTTGTTTGGTATCCATCAATATTGTTTAAACAAATAGAAAAAATGCTATCTGAAGAATTTCTCATTTCCTCAGCTCACTGAGCATTACATCACATCCCTCCTGTCACAACCCTGACACCAGACTGTGATTACATATATGTATTTTTTTATCTTAAAGACTTAAATTTATCTTACTTATTTTTTCAAGGGGATAGCTTGACAGAAACAACTGAAACCAGAAATTTAGAAAAACCAAAGCACAGCTACAAGTTAAGATATTTATTGGTTGATACTGGAGAACAAAAGATCCCTGGCTGGCTGCTTTACACACTGCATGCAGGCACAGTAAAGATAGCAACTTCTATAAACTTACTGCTACATTGGCTTAAAGCCAGAAACGTTTTGTGATAGAATGATTAAGTTTTAAAAAGCTGCCTTAGTTTCAGCACTGGTGTAACACCAGTATGTAAGTGAGAATCAGTAATGCGGTATTTCAATTAAACATCAATCCTATCCAGTAACTTTTAATATCAATTTCTTGCAACACTATAAATAACGCTTATTTGCAGTAAGCATATGGTTCTGCCAGCATACAGCAGACACATGCCACAGAGAAAAGATTTTAAATATTTTGCACACTGAAATTTCACCACATTCCGCCCTCTCTTAGGTTTCGCATGGCTCTCCTGATGTCGTGTAAATCACAGCTCAAATGTGTCATAAAAGGAGTATTTTATATCCAATCTCATAATTTTCTTGTGACAACCGCTATACTAAAGCGAGGTGACAAAATCACGCTGGGGTATTTCCGTGCCTGATAGTCTGGTCTCTCTCTGTCCCTCGATGCCACCTGGTGGCGGGGATGGCAGCCAGGCTGCTGTGCCGGGCACCCACAGACTGGCCTTGCCCAGCCACAAAATCCACGGTGAGTTCTTGGATGCAGGGACACTGCTGTCACCAGTATGCAAATCAGTGTTATTTCAGCGTCCCATTTAAATTTACCACTGAATGTTTGCTTTCACAAAAAAAAAATATGCTGAGTATTTTTAGAGGACTAATTCCATCTTCTCTTAACAGCAAACATTTTTCCAGTGTGCCTGAAGTAATCACATAAATCCAGTCCATAGCATAAAACAGAAAAAGAAAACCTCACCCTAATTTGACAAACAGAGCATCCACGGGACGTGTTAAATCCCTGTAAATAAGCACTAACATTTTATCAATAATACGTATGCTGTTAAATTTACGCCTACAGACTGCATCTAAAGAAATTGCAACAAACACCCATACACAAGAATCCAGCCTGCAAATTGTGCCAACTTCTTGGTTTACACAGCCATACCCCAAGGGATTCAGGCCCCTGGGTCACCGTTCAGCCATCAGCCCACTCCACTGATCCTGGGGGCTCTCTGCTGCTTTGAAGGACTTGGAGCAGCCACAGTGGTTAAATAAAGCCAAAAACCCCTCACGGCAGCAGGATGTTCCTAACACAGGTGAGATACCGAAGGAGGGCCAACATTCCCACTGTTAAGAACTTGCGAGCAATCTCTTTTAAATGGTCTGGGCTGCAACACAGCCATATGCTGGATGTCTTAGGAGGCCTGTGTTAATGGCTATTTAATAAGAAAATGTATTCTGAATATAGATCTATCCTTGCAAAGCAGCAGAACAAAATAATTTTTAAAATTAAATAGAGTAAAAATTAAAATAAAATGTGTGTCTTACCATGCAGTAGCTTTTGCAACTTCTACCTGCTATAGAACCTAAACTGTAACTAGGGTTCACTTAAACCAAAAGCAGGGCCTTGAGAAGTCACTCATAAGAGTAGGAACTGCATTAACTGACTGCTCTCCCCTGTTCTTGGCTATTATTTATTGCACTCACAAAATTCATCTTTTGAACTATTCCAGTGAAATGCTACAGGGCACATGCTCTAGAAATGTGTGCATCAGCACTGATGCCTGGAGGAACACTTCTCTGGTAGGCAGCCTGTGGCCAGTACGTCAGCTGGAGAGCTCTACACATGGAGAATGCAGCTCGGGGGGTGGCTGTAATACCAGTGCCCATCTGTCCAACTAGGATGAAAGCCACTGAAGAACATCAGTAACTGCTGATGTGAAAAAGACCCACCATGATTATTTATAGAACACATTGAATGGTTCTTGTAGTCAGGCTAAGCACTTGGCAACTAGGCATCAAGTTACCAGAAACAGTTCACTGCATTGCCCATTCAGTTTTTTGGCTGCCATAAAACCAAAAATTTGTCTCAAAACTGGATCCAAAATCCCTGAAACAGCAATATATACTCATATACAGTTATCATTGACAGGAAAACACAGTTTTAAGAAGAGTAGTTTCAACAAGTTAAATCTCTAGCAACACATTCAAGACATTTGTCCTTGGCAATGGTGAAGATATACCTGTGAGAACATGACTCAAAATATTCAGAATATCAATAACATTCTTAAGATTATTTTTTTTGTTAATACGCTTTTGAATAATAGTTAAAATGTCAACTGGTAAAGGTGTTTCAATTTCTGTTCAAAGGCAGGAAGACAGGTATCCCCTAAGGTCACGTACAAGGTTGTGGCTGGGAGAGGCATTTCTGGCATGCCAAGCTTGCTTACCCGCATGTCATCACCCTTCCACCCAGGTGGGGCACTTCAGCAGCCTCTGCCACTGAGGCAGGAAGCAGCAAGTTCCTAGCACTGTTCACATCTTTGTTTTTCATGTTTCCATATTACATCAACAGGAAGTCACACTGCTAGTTACACAAGTTGGCATTACCAGAGTTGCATAACTTACCATTTGGGGTCCAACATTCACATTGATTGGTCCTAAGGTTTTTGGCAAAATCTTAGTTGGGGAGTTGGTGCTGGAAACTGGCAATGTGATTACTGAAATATTACCTAAAGAGAGTAGTAAAAAGAGAGTTTTAAATCACTTCCTTAGTAACCTCTAAATAACGCTTTGGTAAATTCTCACATCATTTTAATGTTCTGGAATCAAGTTAGCTTTTTTGTCTTGTATGCTGCAAACACACCCTCACATAACAGCCTCTAGACAGTTTAGCAGATGTCACAAGGACACATCACGGAACTACACCTTCACTATTTTACCTTTAAAATTATGTTTTAGTATTTTCTTTCCAGAAACAATTTCTTCTTGCCTAAGACAAAGAGCACACAGCCTGACATACCTCAGCATTAAAAGTTAAAATTAATGTAAGACAGCATATAAAATATGTATCCATGTATCTTCACAGCCTTAACCATTCCTCATCTGACTATAAAGTACTCTGTAAAAATCAGTGAAGTAAGCCTATCACAGCCTGTCAATCACTACAGAGATGGAGTAAATGATGCCTTTACAACCTACCTAAAGTAACAGAGCAGGCAGCTGGATGTCCAGCCAACCATGCCATCTCTAACGCACCATGTTCTCATCCCAAGACGTTTATCATCTTTGTGATTCTGGACAGCTTGCAGAGATAACTCATCCTGCCTTCACACAAAGAAGCACAGCTCTATGCTGAGAGTCTCGCAAGTGCTGCTGCTCCTCCTTTATTCCAAATCATATCTGTAATCTTGATTATTCAGACTTAATGTCTGAATCAAAACTGTCATGCAGCACCACCATTAGCTCATAAGTGTTCAAACTGCTGTACACAAGCCATCAGTGAACACATTTATCTATTGACATTGTGGCAGCAGCAGCTCCTGTCTCTAACAGTTCCAAAGCAAGAGAGCTGGGAACCGATTGATCACATACCTCTCCCCATTCTTACACACAGCCTTATTCAAAATGGGGAAATGATAGTGGTGGGTCTGGAAGTAGAATCAAATACAAGGAAAAGCTGCCACTGCCTCATAATCCAGACTCAGCTTGGGTCTACCTGGGCTCACGAGTCATAAGGACAAGGATTGGCTTCTGAAGAGCTACTTAACACTCTCTGGTGTTTCTCAGACAGAAACTGAAGGCACCCAAGGTGACAGGTTCCTTCAGAACAGCGCAGGCACCAGCCCTCACCACCACCCTGCCCCGCCCTCCTCCCACAGAAGCTGGTCAGCATTCAGCTTAGCCCAGATGGTCCCAAGCTCACTCAGTGGTGTTTGAAATCTCTCTTCCCTGGTCTCCTCATATAACTTGCTCTACTCCACTGCCCACTTTCCTCTTCTCTCCTGGTCCTGAAACATGGTCTTTTTTTTAAAAAAAATTTTTTAGTACACCTGTGTTCTGCCGGTAGGTAGCTGGAAAATCATAAATTCAACAGTATAAATTCTCTGTAATACAAAGCAGAAGCCACACAATTGAGAGAAAAATAATACTTGAAAAAGGATCTTATGTAGCTACAGTGCAGAAGTAGAAAAGATGTAGACATACACAAAGTTTCACCTTTATAAAAAATGAAGAGAGGTATGAGAAATATTTACAATTTGAGACAATGATGTTCTAATGTTCTGTGTAAATTCCTTTGGCATCTGGAGTAACACTACTACTTAATCTTCCAAAAGGCAGATCAGTATCTGAGAACATCTTCAGAAGAAGCTTGCTTCTTCTCTATTCAATAAATTGAATAATTTATTCAGTCACCTAACTCACCTTACAAAACCCACACCCTTGGAACCCCACCCCCACAGTAAATCCCTGCTCTATTATGAAACACCTTTTGTGAAGTAGTGCCAGAAGAGTGCACAAGACAACAGTAATTCATCATTTACATACACTGTGTTCCCATTTTGAGCTCAAAATAGTTCTCTAAACTGGCCAGCTACTTGTCAGTTTTATTTTTGCTGCAGGATTTTGCCTAGGATTTGCTAAACTGTGCTAGCATATTCTCATCAAAACCTAGTCTCCTCTCATTACAGGCTGGTGTCATCAGTGATGTGCCTGTCAATTCCCAGGACTGTTGTAGAAATTTTCCTCTTTAATGCTGCAGCTGAAACTTTTGACCCCTTTTTCTCCAATATTAGCTCTCATGCTATTTCTCCTTATTTATTTATTTTCCCTGGTAAGAAAAGAAACAAGTAACTTTCTCTGGTGCCCACAATATAAGGTCACATGGCAAAATGCAGTAAAATTCTGAAATGTCAGCATTTGGCTTACACTTCTCTCACCACCAGGTAAAATCACAGCCGTCTCCAGAGACACTTCCTGGCCTCCAAGAAGCATCATGTTTCACACTGTAAGATTGAGCCATGTCAGACTTACTGTACAGTACAGATAGCACTGGTGGTGTACAGCTAGATGTACACATCTGGCCGCTGTCCCACAACAGTCGCTGCACACACAGTTGGTTTCTTTGTCAACATGCTGCATGGAGATTGTGACCTATTTTCACTGGCTATAGTTTTTAACATATATATGTACGTACCCCCTTGTCGCGCACACATGCAGACTCTCTGAATGCTGTAGTTTAAAAATACAATACCCATGACCAAAGCCACACACAACCACCAGACTTACTGTAGCAGCCCTGGAAAAGCTACTGCTGCACCATTCCTCCATTTACAAGGCTACCTGGATAAACATATACGGTCACCACTAGGGTAACTTTAGTAACTAAAAAGGTTGTTCAAATTACTTGATCCTGATTTTAAAAAGAAAGTCTCTTACATATACCATATGTTTAAAAGTCTTTCTGGCTAGAATTATCATCAGAGTAAGACAGATCTTAATCATCTAGTCCCTACACAAAACCTGCCCTGTTTGGCAGCAGCAGTGTCAAAATGATCTTGAGAGTTAATCAAGTTTTAAAGAAGTATTTCCCTGCCCTTGCCCTTCCTTTTAAATTTCTTTATAGGTAAATATAAATATGTGAATATGTAGACTTTTAAACAAAGATAAGATGGAAAAGGACCTGTTTCTTTTTATAAGTGAGGTCTCTCTCATCCACCATAGACAGAAGAGCAATGAAAATTTTCACAAAAAGAAGCCATTCTGTCAGCAGTTGAAGAAAAATAGTAAACAAAAAGGTTTACCACTTACAAATAAAATATGCCCTCCCTCCTGTTTTCTTCTTTTCCAAAATAGTGTCATAGTCCAGATATTCATGTGACCTCAACTGGTCCAAATTCAATGGTGGAAATACCATCTCTTTTCACAGGAAACATGATAGCTGGTTCAGTTAGTTGCTGCAAAAAGTTAATGCATTTCCAAACAGATCATATCAGCACCCTACCCTGAAGAGACAGATTTTGCAGTCAGTATCACCAGCATCACCACTCTAACCAAAGAGAAATCAAAGTGCATCCCATCCCGCCCGCGGCCCTCATGCAGCGGCAGCCCAGGTCCATGGGACAGAGCTGCTACTGAAGGACCTGAAGCTGGCCAGGCCCAGTCCCAGCACAATAAAAACATCACCACAAACTGGAATCTGCCAACACCAGAGAGCAGGCATTTGCTTGCTAAGATGACTAGCAGTATTTTACACCAAGTTTTCAAGATTAGTGCACCTCTGTTTGCTGAAGAGCTGGTAATTAAGTTTTGAAGGCAAGGTAGTATCACAAAACAGGAAGCATCAACAGGAACAATCTCTTGTTTTAAGACTCTCAAGTCTTACAGCATAGAAAAAGTAGGAGGAAGTAGATGTCACACTGTTTGTGGATCATCTAAAAATATTCAGTAGATTTCTGTATTCAACTTAAAGCAGAAATATCACCAAACTAATTATATATACTTGATCATACAGTAATTGCAAAGGCTTTAAACACTATCAAATTCCAAATAAATGGCAAGTCTTAGTAACGCCCATCATTTGGGAACAAAAAAAGATTACACTGATTTATGTTCCACTGAAAAACAGCAGTGCACACAGTGATAAGCTGAACACAATGAGACCCATCAGCCTCCTAGTCACGGTAATCTTACTGCATGGATGAAAGAGGTCAGCAGAGATGGATCAAACTAGAATGATTTGTATAATAATACTCAATTCTTATATAATGTTTCTTGGCAGTACTTTCAAAGCACAAAGGTCAGTGTCATTATTATTCCCATTCTACCTATGGGAAACCGAGCACATGGGAAAGAAACCCACTTAAAACTCTCACAGAGAGGCTTTAACAGCAATATATATAAAACTATCACAAACTGAGCATGCTCGTCACTGATGCACATTCAAAATAACAATCTGCCAGTGGACATATGTTTCTCTTAGAACAAAAGCACCTTGCTTCTACATAAATTATTCTTCCATCCCTCAGTTGCCACTACGTTTGTTTCTCATGGACAGAAACGACTGTTACTATTCCATGTTTAGAAAAACATTATCACTACATAACTATTATTCTTCCTGGCATTTGCAAAATATTTTTATTTGCACGCACAAAGAGAGTCAATTTAAATGATCTTCAGCTTCAAGCCATCACAAAACAAAGTTACTCATGTTTATGTACACATATGCTCACATGCATTCACTTTAAATTGTTAATGTGGCATCCTAAATAGTTTAACTTCACACAAACATGGACCCCTATACAAGTACGAAGCTAAAGAGGTTGTAGTGATTTTTTTCCTGTATAACTAAATCTGTTAGGTCTGCAGCTTAGTTGTAAAGATAATCAGAAACAATGTCAACTGGAGAATCTATTGAATCTGTCACAGCCAGTTTGAAGGAAACCGTAGCTGATGGGAAGCACAGACCAACCAGCTGGCGTCACACACAATGCGTACATAACAAAAAAAGTATTTGAATTTTTAGACAAAACACCAGAGAAGTGCTAGTAGTTTTGATTTCATATTCAGAGCTCATTTCACATTTTTTAAAGTGTATCAATGAACAGCCATTTAAAATAATACAGCCTATGACTTGACCGTAATGGCAAAAATCCCCAGTTCAGTTGTGAAATACCAGAAGTCCATTAAGATATTTTGCAATAACATGTGATGCGACCTCATGGTCCTCTGTTGCACTAAATCATAAACTGATCTCCAAGACCGGGATACAGTATTATAAATGCATCAAGAAAACCTGAATTATTAACATGCTGTTAGTATGCATATATTTTCTTGGTACATTTCTTCATTTATTTATTGCACAAACTTAATAGACTACAAAGTTAACTTTAAAAATTCCATAGTCTGTAAAAGCACATGCATATCTAGAAATAATGAAATGCGAGAGATCTGTAGAAAATAAAAACCAAAATGGAGCAGACAGCATTTCAGCGTACTTCAGGCTTACACTGACCTGCACATTTTCAGTCTTTTACTGTTCAATTTAAGACAAATTTACAGGAGTTAACAGTTGTGTGAATCTCATAGTAACAAGTGTAGGCCTACTGATAACCAACTCTGTTGTCCTGATCATTTCAGCAGATTTCTTCAAGTACACAATGAACTCCCAGCACTCTTCAGGCCTTGAGCTGGAACCCCCTAAGGCCCTGGTCAGATACTCAGCATGCTGCCACTAAAGTTTTTTTATGCAGGCTTCATAACTAATGCTCATTCCTGCCCACAAGCCATCACAGCCACAGCTATGGCTATGCAGTAAACCTGCCTTCTTTTCCTTTGGCAAGGTGGAACAATGGGTATTTTTCAGCTGAGTATGTTCCCAGGTGCAGTGAACTGCTCAGTCACCTAATACAGCTATGCTAGCACTAAGTAAAAGAAAATGTTTAAAAGCAGCTGTGAGGTGACCAGAGCCAACTTAACTGCATCTTTCCAGAGAAGCAAGCAAAAGGTTACATCACAAGGAAATGCAGAAAATGGTAAATAAGTTAATTTTTAAAAAGAAAATACACTTGCCTTACTGCTTCCATTACAGTAGCATAGGCACATGGCATTCCTGTGCCTTGAGCAATTTCTAAAATGTCAGCCCTATCAGGAGTTAGTAAAAACTAGGTACGGCATTAAAAAAGACATATTGAGACAAAGTTCATTTTGCATTAGAAGTGAAGATTTGCACCTAAAGCAATCTGAATTGCAATTTGATCTGATTAAGGGATCCTCCCCCATGGAGCATGTTGCAAGAATGGTAGTCTAGAGCCAGAGTTCCTCTTCCCTCCACAGCAATAAATAGAGAACACCATATAAATTCACAGAATTTAAGAATATAGTAACAAAAAAGTATTAACTAAGAGCACTCCGATTCACAAAAACTATTGTGTT